ACCTGCTTGTGTATTGTTCGACAGGGGCGGAGCTAAATGAGGGGCATGGACACCGTCTCGGATGACTGATTCCCATATCGGTGACAGGTAGAGACCTGAGTCACGATTAAGATTGTCAGGTTGTTTATAGATTTCTATAGACTCTCGGATTTTTCGTTGGTAGAAGAACTGATTACATGCAAGAATTTTTTTTTATCGAATAAAATTTTATGTTCGGTTTCATGAGTGTGTTCGGAACAGCTGATGAGTTTATTTGTCTTACACGTAAGGCTCTTTCGTGTTCTTTGAGTCTAGTTTATATTTTTCGTCCGGTCTCTCCAATATATTCTTTGCCGCATATGCAATAATAGATACATGCAAGACCTCAAGCAATTTTAACAGGTTGAGGCAAATAATGCGTGAATAACTTCAGAATATCACTTCATATCTCTGTCAGCGATTAATTGTGCATTTCTGCTTCTGTCTTGTCCCGGACTTGATTAACCATGGTTTATTTTCAATAAGTACACCAATATTAGTTTTCGTGCTATCTCTCTTAAAAAGTGTCCAATTTGCCCCACTCTGTACATAAGTATGTGGCATCAAATCGCAAATTACTCATTTTAATTCAGCTGTGCTACGGATACATCTTAGACATACGCTACACGCGTGGAGAGCGTAATCTATCGAAACAAAGAGGCTTTGTACACGAGTACATCCTGTCAGTATATACATAATTTATGACCCAGGCGGTCTACATCCATACGCAGCGTACTGTGGGAATTAAACACAACAAATTGCGAAGGCATTGTCTGGCTTTAATTCGTGACAAGTATCTCCGCCACTGTGCGAAATACGGGGTCTAACACGTTGGGTGTCTCTGAGTGAAACCATTCTCGAATTTATTCCCCAATGGTAGCGCTGCTATTAGAAAATTAACGTTTTACCACCAAGCATAATGTTTACATGTTACCTTTCACTTTTTGACCTGTTCATTGTACCTACATAATTAGTGTTATTAGTGTTATCATGTTTTATGGCGTGGGGTTTGTGGAAAATGACACACACGTTTCTTCGGCAAAATTAAAAGTACTTCCTATTCAAATGAATATTGCAAATGATAAATATGCATAGGGTTGTGGAATTGACCGGTCAATTTTTTTTTGTGTCAATTGACCGAAATAATTTTTAAAATGCCATGAAATTTATATTTATTTATATTGTGGGTTACGGGAACCGAACGGAGTCGGTATTATTATTGGGATTCCCCGAATCGCTAGTATCGTATTCTGATATTCCTTGAAGAGGGTTATAGGTAAATTGAAAATCACAAATGCATAATAATTTATTATAAAATACATATTATTATTAAATAATGATAGATAACACTCTACAATTGCAAGGTGGTATTTAAAAAAACTTTTGACTAGTCAACTAAGAAGTGGTGAATTGACGGTCAATTGACCAGCTCCAACTCGTAAGTATACATAATTCACGTTGCTTCTAGTAGTAAAGCTGGTTTGTTGGTAAGTTGCAAATATATTGCTAAATATGTGGTAGGTGGGTTTAAGAAATAAATTTTTTTAAAATAATTGATATTTAATATTTTATGAGTGACTACCATCAACAGTTCGTTTTGTCTTTAATGTTGAATAATTGGATGAATCTATAATAGCACTAAATCTCGAACCATACCAAACGTGGCGGAATATGTATGATATCAATGTCTATGATATCACTACCTATGATATTGAAAGTGCGCAAAAAAAGGTTGAATTTATTTATTTTTACCAAACACGTTCATTAAAAGTTTACGGAGATGTAATCTAGAAACGCCTTTTAATTTTTGGTGTACTTCTTTTGAAAAATATTTTCAACGTTCTGTCACTTCCGGTTCAATCGGAAGTTCCTGTCAACTTACTTATTTCAAATGAACACCCCGTATATTATTACATTTTGAGATTCTGTGCGAAATTCAAAACATATTTTACGGTACGGTATGGTATGGACGCTATGGTATGATATGGTATGGTACAGTATAGTATAGACTCTTACGCCTCCAGCTCTCTCAATATTTTTATTTGAGCTATTGATGTTCAACTTAATATGAAATATCTGTCTATACGTTCATATCTTTTTTTGTATCAAATATGTGAAATTATTATTTTTAAAAAAGTTTTTGTTATCAGATTTTTTGGATGCTTTAAGATGCACATTTACGGATTGTCACATTAAATGTTTAATTTATTTTTCAATACGTACAGATACTAGGTTTAATGTAATCAAGACTTTTATTATTATTACCATTATCATAAATATATTTTTAAACAATATCAACATAAAAAATATCATGCAAACATAAACCGTAAATGGAAACAATGCAAAAATTCACAATATTACTTCAAAACCATAGTAACATCACTTTTCGTTAGAAGTCTCATTAAATTCTAAAATTGCGAATTGAGATTTTTGTTCTCCGCACAAAAATACCCAGTGGCATGGTTAGAGGAACCATCTAAATATTTTATTAAATGAAATTAAGGTTTAACATTGCAACGAGATCGAATTAAAAAGATGCTTATTTTGCTTAAGTTCGATGATCACTTTTATCTAATAGGAACAAGATTGCGAAAATGTAACTTCAATAAATTCACCGGCGGTACGCCATAATTTTATGCTTAAAATATCCAGATTCTTCCAACTTTTACACTACTGGTTATTTCAGGTCGATTTCTTTTTAAAATTATATAGCTAGTGAGTGTTGCACCTTGCCAAATTTCATTAAAATAGTTGAGTGCTTTAGAAATTCTTTAAGATTCATTAAAATTGTGCCTTATTGAAATAGTAACAATAAAAAATTTACATTCATTGCAAAATCTTATCTTATATGTAGCTACTACTAATTCGGCTGCAAAATGGATTTAAATCCGTATGTGCACGCCCAATCAAATTATAATTTATTTATAGAGCTTAAGATTATGCATATTCAACGTTGCAACTAATTTCGGTGGCGACCATAGTCGTAGTTAAACTTTGCGCCGCAAAATTATTTTTGATCCCTATTGTAAATTCGATAAAATTGCTTGCTGGTGACGAAAACACTTGAGAAGGATAAAGCAGTACCGCCAAAGAAAACCTTTTATCTTGATGTGACGTGGATTAATCAAGGTTATATACTGTAGAATACACCTTTCCATTTGATACGATAAATACATAATTCCCCATTTACAAATGGAAAGCTACAAAAATAATAATAATAGTCCATGGCTTGTATGGTCACTTTTCTCCACAATTTCTTGTTGTTACTTTCTCTTACTATTTGCTGATCCCCATGCTTTCTTGTTTTGGACCACCCTTTCGTTTTTTCCTCCCATAGAATTATTAAGTAGTTTTCGGATCCTATCCTATATAAATCTGTTTTGTTCCGCTTTGTTTAGTGTACATACTTCACTCCCATAGGATGGGTCTTGTGACTGTTTTGTATAGTCTCATTTTAGCTTTCCTGTGGTTTCCTGCCATCAATCTTTGTATTTCTATTGTCTAGTCCGTTCCAAGGTAAGTATATTTTTCTACTTCCTTGACTCTGTGGGTTTTATTACTGTTAACATTTTAGGTATTGGTTTCCCATTCTCCATCTGTTTAGCTCGTGTACTCTGTGTACACGTCTTCTCTTTGTTGACTCTAAAACCAAAAGACACTGCTTTGTCTTACAATATCTTTACACTTTTTTTGAGTTCTTGTTTACTCCTAGTGAGCAGTGCTAAGCCATTCTCAAAAGCTGAGCATTGGTGCCTTTTCTGATTAGTCTTGAGATATGGATTTTTGCCTGTCTTAGAAATTCTTTAAGATTCATTAAAATTATGCACTAAGCACAGACTGAATAATACTGAATGAATGAGTCAACTCGCCTTACTGCTTCCTCGACTTCAAATTTATCTGTTATCTGTTCTTCTTCTTCTATCATCTTTCTTAGTTTGTTACCAATTCCAAGTTCTTTCAATGCGCATTCTACATACAAAAAATTCGACCAGATAAAACCAGGCAAAAAGATAACGCGTATTAATTCATTAAATTAATAATCAAGGTTTGCCAGATTTCAGCCGGGAAATATTGAAGATTACTTTGGAGAAATGATAAAATATCTTCCGACTGCTTCAGTATATTCAGTAGTAGTTGTAGATAAAGCATCTATCATTCGCGACGCATAGAAATTTCAAGTTCATCTTGAAGAAAACAAGAAATGTGGTTTATTGAGTTGGAAGATAATTTGATAAAGTAGGAACTACTTACTACATACAGCAAATTTACACATCATGTTTTAATAAAATACATTGCGGAAGCTATAGCAGAAATAACATAGCGAAACCGCAATATGGGGAAGTGACACAAGAGAATTGGCAAAAAGTACTTCAGCATGTCAAAGAAGAAGAAAAAATGTAGAATCTTGATTACTTGATCGATCGCTACATCGAGCCGTTAAGTATAACGTCAAGAGGAGATGATAGTTCTTCAGATGACCGAGAATATTATAATTTTTTATAATTTAATTAATTCATTTTCAGTGTTTGGGAATGGATACCCATAGGCAAACCCGGGTAGTACTACCTGGTCTCTATAAAAGGAAATTATTTTGCAATGAAATCAATGCCAAATAATGGAAGTGGTTAAACTATTTCTGATTTTTGTAGTCTCCTGCCATACCTAATCATTTGCTCTATACATTGCAGGTCATATCATTGGAAAAAAAATTCTTTTTTCGCAAGCAATCTACAATTTCACTTGTAAAAAATATTAATTTCTTTTCATAACCACGCCGCTGGTGAAAAATTATATTATCTACCGAGTTTTGATAACGAGGCGCATCTGTTTAAAGCAGTTTCGGAGTTATTAAGAAAAAACGATTTTTGTTAAAACATTCAAGACCGCAGAAAATTTTCGCAAATGATTTTTTTTTAAATAAAAACCATAAATCAAATTCATGCCACTTTTTCCTGTCAAAAACGAGACTTAAATAAAGCTACCTGAAGTTGGTCGTCCTCGAATCGTTGCCACAAAGACGCAAACGTTCTCGTTTATCCACGAAACATATTGCGCGATCCAAAGTTCCGCGCGCGTCTCGTTTCTCCGACCAGAGAATCAAACTGAACGCAACACCAGGCACCTACTGCGATCAGGAAAAAGAAGGGTCTCGACACTCACTTCCACCGCCTGCTGATTTCCCGGACGGCCGAGCAGGGATATCGGCACGAAGAGATCGTCGTCAATTTATACCTCGCGAAGACATTCGACGTCACGTGACAGTTGGCCTTTCTTAAAGTCTGTTTTCAATTAGTGCGGAGCAATAAAACACGATAAATAGTCATGACTGTTATAATAATAAGTAAATCGAACCGGTCCAGGGAAGTAGTAAGGATATTGAAACACAAAATATGTCCCTGTTAAATCACTTCAAGTACATAATTAACTCTATAATTGTCTCCAACTGCTCTCTGCTATTAATTCACACTAAGTTTTACCATATTCGTTTGAAGAGGATTCAAATCGAAGTACTGAGGTTGTAATCTAAGAAGTATATTACCGGATTTTTTTATGACCTCGTCTATGAAATTAGTTTTTTTCTACTCCCTTCTGTAAAATAGTTCTGACATTTTTACCGCACGAGTTTCGAAGATATTACCGCCCTGCTTTGACGTTTGAAACTTGACGGTCATGTCAGTGAATGTCTTCGAGTTGTTTTACAAAAAAGTACCCAAAGACTAACGGTCGTGGAAAAAGTATAGAATGCAACACGTTTGGTAAACTTTTAAAGCCACTCGTTTGTTAAATACTCGATCCGCTGCGCTCCGGTCATGCCAAATAAACTCGTGACTCAAATGCCGTTTACCACACTTGTTGCATAATGTATATATACGATTTGATTCTTAAAACTTCAACTAGTTGTTTTATGTATAGGCACCTTCAAAATAAACTTTTGCAATACCTCTTCTTTGTTGCTGACAGTTTTTTAGCTAAAGTGCTGGGATACCCAACGTTATCATAAACTATTACTTTGCCTAGTGGTATATCTATAAACTTTTTACTAAATTCTCAAAAAGTTCATATCCTGATGGTAATCTAATGAGCAGTCTTTAATGTTTTTCGCTGAATGTAGAAAAGCATTTGGCACACAACCTTCAACACGCAACAACATTCAAAACGCAGTTCGATGAGTTTTGTTACTCTTTTTTTATAGTGTAGTGGATGGCGAACCATATCTCCATTATAACCATCGTTAGATTTTTTAATGAAATTGCGCTGGTCAATATATTTAAATATAAATAAATATAAATGTTTCACTGATGTCAGTAAGTCGACCATTTTATGCAAATCCCTATTACAGTGATTCAAGTGACAAAATCGGATGACTCTCATGCATCGTAGATACTTCCCTGGGAATCTAGTCTGCATGACCATTTCTAAACACTCTTATTATTCCTTTGTCACATCGTTCCTTCGTCTGTAGGATTCGACGCAAGATTGATCTTGAAATGCTAGTTAATTGCACTGTCCTCCCAATAGAAGCTTCCGTGCTTTTTGGCGTTTTTAGAAGACCTACAGACAAATTTTCCATTGAGAAATATATGTTATTGGTGGATTTTTTTATTTGCTATGTTAAACAATATAAGCATTATACAAATTTTGCATTGATATACGCGTAAAACGATTCTCTGGCACTACATATTCAAATTACGTTTTTTTTGGTCTTTGCTCTCCTCCATTCCGTTGTCGAAATTTTCTTCAACTCACACATAACAAGTAATGGCAAAGCGCAAATAATTTTAAAATTTATAAGATATCTACACTACTAATATATAAATACCTCTCTGTACAAATAAACGCTTATGAATCGGCTATTTATTGGTTTATTGGTCGGTTTATCGAGTTCCGTTTATCATAGGTCAGACACATCATGACTACTTATCGTGTGCTGGACTATACAACGTTGATATTGATGCTAATCAGAAGGAGCTGTAATAATTCATCCCTATCAGTGCACTCAAAAGTCACGGTTTTTAATGTATACAGAGTATTTGAAAAAACGCCCAGTTAATTTCTAGGATAAATAGAATATTAATAGAATATTAAAAAGTATATATCCCAAAACCTTAATTTTTCTTGTGTTTCTGAAGCATCAAACAGTGAAATTTAGAACCCTTCATTCGGTAATAAAAGTTACTGCTAACAAAATTTAAGTTCAAAAAAATGTAAAATATTCGTATTCAATAGGTGTTTCTGAAACAAATATTATTCCCTGTTCTCACGTATAAAAATGCAACTATAATAATTTATTAATTCGGTCGGCATCACTTGCTCAAACCTGAAGTAACTCCAATTCTAGTAATTTTTAATTTAAACAGTAGTAAATTTTTATGGAAGACCCAAAAAATTAAAAACGACTCCATAAAAAAAAAGTTCGGTGGTAAAATACGTATACATGTATATGTATACACATGGTGATTACAGCGAACTGTGCAACGAGTGACAGTAAAGAAATTTAAAATTGGATTTGGTAGAGAAAACAAAATATAATAACAATAATAATAATAATAATAATAATAATAATAAAGTTTCTTTATTACTTACGTACATACTTACAAAATATAATAATATAAGTATAAAGGTGGAGATATTCGTAAAATACGCTGTTCTATGTAACAACATAATTAAGACATTAACATAACATTAGCCACGAAAGTTACATTAAAATTAGTAGGCGCAACCTTGAAAGTTCAGGAAAACAATTGATGTAGATAGGAAGTTAAAAACTGGAATCAAACAATTTACAATAGAGAAAAGAAAACATTTACACCGTCGACATTTAGAACCACACTATGGAATTATTCAACTCAACTCAGACCTTATATGCTTACGTAGTCTTTTTAACTAAATATTAATTGGACCTTCTTTAACGTTACTAGGGATTTTGTTAACAAATCTCTCAAAAAGGGAGGTTTTATGTTTAAGTACTTAGGATTAGGAGTGTCCGTTTTACTGAGTTTATAAGCTAGGCAGCTAAATTTTACTTCTTTGTTCAGAGCATAGCACTTTCGAAGTAAAATCAAGGCATGTTATGGCAAAGTGCGAATCGATCCAAATTTCTAGCGGAGTCAGACAATTTTAAGCGATCGATCCAAAAATTTTGGTAATTTGTTAACTGAGTTCTGTTGGTACCAAAGACCAACAATTCTCTCTTGCTACTATTTAATTTAGTTTCAAACCATTAATCTATTGAAGATCGCTTTTAATATTATCAATTGCGAGCTCAAGGCCAACCAAGTGAAAGGAATTATATAATTATTAGTTACCTACAAACTGATGACTTAAGGTACCATCTCGGACCCTCCCCTATCAAAGTGTGTCTAGGTAAGAAACAATTAACTGATCAAAGCGGTTCCGGGTAACATTTTATAAAATTTGAATCGTCTTCAGGTTATTACATGCCATTCAAAATTTATGTTGGTTTTCTTTTAATTTTTCGATTTTTTTGGCATTTTTTAATTTTTATTGCATGGACAGAGTTTTCGGATAATAGCTTATTTTTCACTTAAATATTAGCATATAACTAAGGAACACTATCTATTATTACGTAGAAAATACATGAATCCATCTCTTAATATGAGCCTACTAGTTAAATTAATAAATGCCAAGTAAAACTGAATCTGTCTCTCTTACTCCCAAGTAATATAATCGTGATCGTTAGTGACGGCTGTCTTGCATTCATCCGATAGACATTTAGGGCAGAACAACATCTGTTAAATTATAAGTAGAAAAAACATAAACCATCTATTTTATTCTGTCTGGCATTTTATTAAATTAAAACGTTCAATTAGCTAAAATAGTTAAAACAAAGCAGTACTCAGTATTCTATTTATCCTAGAAATTATCGGAACCTTTTTTGAAATACGCTTTAATACCCCATGAATTGTTGATTATGACAAGAAACATGCGATTCTTAGAAAAAAAAGGGAAATATCCACGCCAGTGAGAATTTCACTGAAACTTGTACAAAACTAGGTTAGACCTTTCAATAATAATATCAAGAGAGACAAATTAAATTAGAACAAAAAATGTTTCACAGTTTTTAATGATTTATGACTGCTATCACAAAGCAGCGGTGTTGCCGAAACAGCTGTCATAAATAATTAAAAACTGTCAAAGTCTGAACACTTTTTGTTCGAATTTAATTTGTTCAATCAATCAAATGGAGATTATCATTATTAATCTGTCATAGATTATTGTGAGTTATATCAAGAAATTGTCAATTGAAAAGTTATTCTGTTTTATTTATTAAATTAGACAGAAATTCTTTACGTCCGCATAAACCCTATAAGTTTTGTATGTACCATTTCCTGATATAACCCATAATAAAACCTGTAGTGGTGTATCGAAATTCGGACGGACACCCTCTACACATGCACTTGTGGTGCGCGATTAAAAGTGAAGTGCGGCAACAAGGGATATTTGCAATCCCCGGTTAAAAAGTCGGTTCGTGAAGGGTGGGGAGACGGGCGGAAGACGTTCCACAGGACGGAGTTCCTGGGGATAAAGAAAATCCCGTGATTATTATTGTTTCTTTAGAAATTTGTAGTGTTACGTTCAGTAAAAGTTTGGTAGTTTTCAAATTTTGTGCCTTATTTACCGCCGTAGAACCCACGACACACTCTCGGAGGTCCGAGAGCATCTCACACTGTATTCACAAATATTATAATAATACATTTTGCTTGTTAAAATAAAATTTAGTTCCTTTTTTTTAAGTTGATAATGCACAGATCAAGTGTTACTTTAAGAGGTCATAGTCTAAGTGTCAGTGGGCGGCTACCTGCATGTATTTGACCAGACCTGGGTTTTTGTATATTGAGGCCCCTATACCTACTATACATGATGTGGGGACCCACTAAGCTCAAAGCGGTGGACCCAGGTACTGCGCAGGTGAGACAGGTATTGATTTTTGGCGAATTTTAAATATATTTGACCACGGCTGCCGTTTCGAAATCTTAAAATATATTGTTATTATTAGCGAGAAATAATAATGGCAGACCATTAGTATGCGGTTAACATTATGGCAGACAGTTTTGAAAATGCTCAAAAAATTAAAATTCTGAAAGTATTTGACCAGATCTGCCATTGAGATATATTATTCGTTATAGTCTTAAAAACTTATATTAATAACGGCAGACTTTTTTATTGAGGACACTCCTCGGTAGA